AAGCCATGTCTTGAGGGCGCGGCGGAAAGTAAGGAGATCCGGAATCATCCGGATCTCGGGGGGTAGTTCGTTCCAGAGGGTGGGGGCACCCACAGAGAAGGCCCTCCCCCTGGGGGTCGCCAGCCTACATTGCTTGGCCGACGGCACCCTGAGGAGGCCCGCTCTGTGGGAGCGTACCGGTCTATGGGAGGGAATCTGTTCTGTGTGTGTTTATTTATATGGTCTAATTCAGGAGTCTCCAACCCCCCCCCTGTCTATGGACCGGCACTGGGTCATGGCATGCCAGAAACCGGATCATGCAAACAAATGAAGCCCCATCAATGGGATGCAGGCAGCACGTGAAACCACACACCCCTCCAGTCAGTGGTGGGATTCAAATATGTGAACAACCGGTTCTGTGTGGATGCTACTTCTGGAAGTCCATTCTGGGCCCAGGCAATAAAAAATTAGCTACCGGTTCTGCCGAACTGGTACAAACTGGCTGAATCCCACCACTGCCTCCAGTCCAAAATCTTTCCACGGAACCGGTTCCTGGTGCCCCAAAGGTTGGGGGCACTAGTCTAATTCCATCAGATACAAATTGATGTTTTGTACCATCCCCTGCCAACTGTTACGCATGATGTCATGACTGTGACTTGTGATTTCCTGCTGGCTTCCCCAGTGAACACCAATTAGTTCCATACTTGACTGATCTTTTTAGGATGTGTGTAACAGTAGCCAACAGTAGCACTTCCTCAGGAATTTGTTTAGCTGACTGCTTGCTTCATTGGCACAAGGATCCTCCCCCTTCCCTCAAATAGTATTTCTACAGGTGTTCTCAAATAGCTTTTAAATTTACGATACATGAATTTTATTTTATTTTTTAAAAAATATTTCATTAAGTTTCAAAAAATAAAAAAACAGTTAAAATGAAAAAAATGTATCAAAAAGGGGAAAATGGGGCATGGAAACAATAGGGACATTTTTAAAAATAAAAAATCATGAAAAAGAACAGAAAAAAAATACTTACAACTCTCTTTGAGAGGGATACAATTATAAGACTCTTGTACCTTTGTGGTATTTTCATTTTAACAGATACAAAGCTAAAATATAAAAGACACAGACATATCAAACAATCAAATGATAACAATATATAATGTCATAGTCTCTTAGTCTAAATAAAATGTATTGCCCATAAATGCATCATAACATCAACACCCAAAATACACCTAAAATTACTATTTCTATAGTCAAATATACTGTATATAATAAAACATCCTGTATTTTAAACAAATACCTGAGAACCTAAAATAACATGTAAATCTGTTAAACACCAATTAAGCACAATATTTCTGTAATCAAAACATATCTAATCATCAAATCCCCAAGTCAAAACTTAAGAGTATGTCCATTTTTTTTGGCCTCCTCAGTCATACAATCTTTAACATATTCTTTTAACGCGCTCTTTTTGTAGGTGGCCGATAAAT